ACGGCACTCAAGGCTGCTAGTGCCAAACAGGCTCTGGCCTATCAGGAGTCCCAGGGAAACCTCAGATATCTGCTAATACAAAAAGGTGGTGAAGGACAATCCTAAATTTATGCATTGCAGATCACTTCATTCCAGCACTTGTGAATGGGAATCCCCACTGGAGTAGAGCAGCCCGCAGCTGCTGTAGCAGCTCCTGTCCTTGACATGTAACTGGCAAGCATGGTCCCCACTGGAACCCAGGGAAGCCACCCACACTGCTAGATATACACAGAAATATGAACAGCCCACACACAAACACAACACACAATCCACACAAACTCAACACCACTAACAATCCACATACATGCACACAACGCCACATGCAGCCTCTCACATGCAATAACCCAAACAGCCCCACACATACACACACTACCAAACACACTATGTGACACTATGTGACAACCATCTACAAGCAGCCCCCATACACATCCCACATTCATAGGTATCATACAAGATAAAAAGATATAAAAAGATGTAAAAAGCCTGGTCTCCTATAGCCTGGTCTCCTATTTTAGATATATTGATTACTTGTTTTTTATATGGAAGGGCTCTGAGGATTCCCTCAACTCTTTCATAACACACCTCAACACTAACAACAGGGGTATCGTTTTATCTTGCGAACACAGTAAAGACACAATCAACTTTTTAGATTTAAATATTTTTATCAAAGATGGGGCAGTTCACACAAAAACATTTTTTAAAAAGGTATGCACCAATACAGCAATAGACCAGACCAGTTGCCATTATAAGCCATGGCTTGAAAGTGCCCCTAAGAGCCAATTCTTATGCATATGCAAGAATTGTTCTCACATTAATGATTTTAATAAGCAATCATTATTTTTAAAACAACAGTTCACTAAAAAAAATTACTAAACAATGCTATAGAGATAGTGAGAAACAGACCAAGAGAAAACATTCTACCCTACAGAGACAAACACACTTGAGATGCCCCTACCCTTCCCATAATTTTGAACTATAACAACAAATGTGGTTTTATTAAAAAAATCAATCAACAAACATTGGTACCTCTTGAGACAAGATGACCTTCTTAAAGAAATCCTACCAACAAAACCAAAAATAGTTTTTAGAGGTGCACCTAATTTCAGATCTATTTTAACTAAGAACTATACCAAAGATATCAAACAAAATACTAATCATACATTTTTAGACGGAGCAAAAGGTTTTTATAAATGTAAGTGCTGTATTGTTTGTAGGAGTACTGACCCCTCTACACAACCCAAGGTTACCAGTTTTAAATCAAACAGAACCAACAAAAGTTATAACATTAGAGATTTTATCGGATGCAACACAAAAAATGTGATCTACCTATGGGGTTCCCATGTGGCCTCATATATGTAGGTATGACCACAAGGTGCCTAAAGACAAGATTAGGAGAACACTGCAGGAATATTAAAAACGGATATCAAAACCATTCCGTATCTAAGCACTTTATTAACCACAACCAAGACCCTAAACTCCTAAAATGTAAGGTTCCCTGGAGAGGGGGGAAACATAAAAAATATTTTAGGCAGATCTGAAATGGAGTGGGTCTTAAACCTGCAGACCCTAGCTCCCCAAGGCCTCAATGTAGATTTCAATCTGTACAATTTTTTTATAATCTTTTATAATTACCAATTCTCTATAATTATAAAAAAAATTTTTTTTATAACTTACAATTTATTATAACACTCTTACAACCTCCCAAATCATAATTTTTATAAGTGTTCTGTATAAGTGCTTATGAGTTATTTTAAGTATATATATTAACATTTTAATGGTTATCTATATCTAAACTAGCCCCCTCAATGTTTTAGCTCTCCCTTGGTCATATTTCTTATTATAGACTTTTAACCATCAATATGTCTCAACTATTTAAGAGTTTGAATATTAACTATATGTACTGTATTTTATATAATTAAGGATTTTTTGGATACTATCTGTCCCAACTACCTTTCTATACATTTTTTACTTCTACCTGGCATCTTTTCAATTTTATCACGTACTTACAAGCTTATCCTAGGTGGGGATCATACCACCAACGCTGTTACCATAGTGCAGTCGGACTATACTTGTAAGTACATTTTTTTCTTTTAACAAACGTTTATACCTTGTTAAACAGTGAGCACTATTAGCTGTTTTTATATATCCCTTTCCTGAGAGTTGGACATCATTCCCTCCAGAGGACAATCATCCATATATCCCACAATCTGGGATCATACCGCTGGACGCCTGTTATACCTGAGCTGGCTATAGCTCATTCAAATGTGAGTGGAATATATATATATATATATCTTTTTCTCAAATATATTGACCCCTACACTCTATACGATTGGTCTCTTATCTTATGTCTTTCATATAACGAGAGAAATTGGACTACTTTAAACAGAGAGGAGACCCCTTCATCAAAAGCACCTTAAAAGACATTTATTGCCATAGTGCAACCTCTAAACCTCTTTGGACTATTTTATATATTTTATACATAACACCAACTATCTTATTTGCACTTTTGTATATGTCTCATTTATATGCTTTTTACTGTTTGTAGTTCACAGTGATTTATTTTGGCGCAGCCTTGCATTACTGTTGTTGTTGTTCTCCATCATACACGATACCACAAAATACTCATGTACAGCAAATGCTGATGCCAATTGTTGATTTTGGAGATGTAGTATATGCACCTGCACCACAAATCCACCTTAATAAACTCAATACATTGTGTAACTCGTTCTGCCGACTTGTGCTACAATGTAATTACAGGACCTACTATTGTGACATGCTAAGAGAAACTCCAGTTTCCATGTTAGCTATAAGAGATTCCAATACAGTAAATATAGAATCTAGCATTAAGATACATGGTATTTTTATACATGGTATTGCTTATTTGCTGCCATTCATAGACGATCGATGTGTGTAACACACACCCTCCACTGATGCCTACTCCTTGTTGTATTGGTTTTGCTAGGGATACTTCTACAATAAGGGCAATCCTTACTGATGACTCCAGCATGCTATTTACACTGCCAGAACATTAGCACCAGAATGTCCTATACTCCCCCTGCAAGCATGAGAAATTGTTTCCGGGGGAAGTAGAACAGCGACAAGGAGAACTGTCATTTAGTCCTTGGATTAGACCGGTGTGCTTCTGGGATAGAGAGATCTAGTGTGTGAAGACTAGGATTGATTGACAGGTGGAGGAGAGACTATATATGTATATTGCATTATTTAAATACATATGCATTTGGTAGCAAAGCTGTTAGCATAGTGTATAGTTGTAATTTACTGCTCTTTAACTTAAACCCAAGTTGTGCGGGTTATAAAATGTACACTTTTAGGAGTAAAATTAAATTGTTTATTCTAAAGCATTAGAGAAGTTAAACCATTTTATTTTATAACAATTCTCTAAACCCTGACATTTACGGCAAGATTGTAATCTGCAGATACACTAAATTTAGAGCGAGAACAGCCTGCGGTGCTAGAACTTGTCATTTTCATAGCTGGAACAGTTTTACAGCAATAGTTCATTCTCTCACCCTTAATGACGCAAATGGAGGTTACTTGCTTCTCTATGTTCATTCAGCACCTAAAGTAATTGATGTGACATTGTTCACACTGATGCCACACTTGCATGTGCAATCGTTTCACGTGACAGAGGAGGATGCAGCCTTATCTAACACATTCTCTAATAGATTTTATTTTTCCAAAACATTTTAACCCTAATACCTATCAAAAGAGCCCTCTTTTTGTTAAATTCACTGGAATTCAATTTGCAGTAGCATTTATTCTCAGTGTTAGCTCTATCTTAGTTTAATTTACCAGAAATGATTTTCCAATTAATGAATTATTGTTATGGTATCTTAATTTGCGTGTTTATTGGGTAAAACAATGCTAACCACTTTATTAATTAAGTAGATTAAACACAGATGTACAATGCATGCGTGATATAAGGCTTTAGAAAAGAAAAGTTGAGTCATCCAAGAAAAAAAAAAGGTGTCTGGAAGATATTGTACTTTATCAGCAAAAAAATAAACAGCTTACACTATGAATTATGATCCTGCTGTCAGAAAAAGCAACACATGCTGAACGCTTTCAATATTCACAAGCTTTGCATAATCTGTACTGCGGCTTTGAAAGGACTTAAAAGGAACACTGATGTTGGAAATGCATATTTGTGTTCATTTA